TATACACATGAACTACTAACAAACCAAGCATCAATATAATGTACTGTCATTTCTACATTTCGTGAAGAAGAATGATTCTCAATAAGCCAAACTACTAAACCACCGAATAATCCATTTAAAACAAAGAAGCATACGTGAATGTATAGATAGTGACTCATTTTCCACTGATATTTTGTTTTCTGTGTAGGTATCACTTGTTTTACATTATTAGTTGTTTCTTCATCTGCTGAAGCATCTATCACCGTGTCTGATGGGTGTGTTTGAATATGGGACTGTGTTTGTCTTCGTGATAACGTAGAAGATCTACGAAGATCGGATCTTGAATCTGCTCGAAAACTTCCATTGTCTATACCAGCTAGATTTAATCTTTCAGCTACAGAAGTTGATGCAAGAATTTGTGATGCTCGTCTTTCACGTTGCGCATCACGAGTAGACAACAACATTGGGCTATGGTTCATTTGTTTGTGCAACAATGCACCTATGAATCTCTACTACAGAGCCAATGAAATGTTTATATCACCTGCATATTTATAAAGAAATGAAGTATAGCATTGCTTGGGCTTTTATTTTTTTTTCTGAATAGTCACTTCATAAAAAGTATTGGTGAGTAAATATTCACTTTCACGGGTTGCAATGTATACATAGACACAATAAAAAATTAGAATAGCAATGTTGATTGTAACGCTTTCATTGCAACGTATGAAATATTTATTAAATAAATGAAGATTGTTTAGTGTCGATAACGAACTATGCATCTCCTTTTATTTTTGCTCCTTTTCGTACACAAAAACAAACGTTTTGCATTGTCGTCTCATAAAAACTACGTTCCGCTCATTTTCATAGATAAGATTCAAAAGTATCTAATGAATACATTGCATTAATTTACATTAGAGGTGGCACTTAATGTTAATTTAATATTAAGTGTTAATTTTTACGTTAACACTTAATATTAATAAAACAAATGTTTGCATTAGCCACTTAATTACTTAATATTAAGTGTTAACGCAATACTTAATTTTTAATATTAAGTTTTAACGTAACACTTAGTTGTTGATATTAAGTATTAAAGTTTTTGCGTTAACACTTAATTCGCTTAAAAGTAAGTGTTAAATATGAAGAATATTTCGTTTTATTTTGAGTATGTAGCAAGTAGGGACATAAAAACTATTCATAGAATATTATTAGTATAAAAATGGTAAAATCCTTATCCGCTACGAAAAGTTTTTTTTTTTCGAAAAGAAGTATTATTTATTAGATTTGAACGGATACTATTTCGTCTGAGAGTAAATAAACTTGTTATTAGATGTAGTTACTTTATTTTGCATTGATACTCTATTAAATGTTGCAAATAATTAGAAAACTATGATATTGATTGAAACTTATTCAACATTGTTCATAGATACTATAGCAAGTGTCACACGAGCTGAGAGACTATCAAAAGAACGACTTCTATTTTATACAATTGCGTACTTATTAACTTAAAATCAAGAATTTCGCTTGAGTCGAATTTTAGCTATTTGATCTTGTAAATCACTATATGAATGGTCAGAAAAATAGTCATTCTGTGTAACCATTAACTGTATGCCACTGTCTTCATTTTTTTAGTATGAATTTATGATACGTATACAGTAAAATATGCATAGTGCGAATAGTATCAGTAACAGTTAACAACATTCATGATAAATAAGCACTCATTTTTGAGAGATACATTCGCAGTAAAATCGATTTTTTGGATCTGATAAAAGTGTCTACAACAACG